AGGACATGTAAATGTTTAAAATAAAGAAAGACATGTGTGCCAAGGATGGATTCTTTCACCATACTGATTCAATCTGTGCAGTGAGCAAATAATCCAAGAAGATGGATTCCATGAAAAAGACTGTGGCATCAGGACTGGAGGAAGACTCATCAACAACCTGCAATATGCAGATGTTATAACCTTGCTTGCTGAAAGCAAAGAGGACATAAAATACTTACTGATGAATATCAAAACCCACAGCCTTCAGTATGGGTTGTACCTCAATGTAAAGAACACAAAAATCCTCACCACTGGACCAATAAATAATATCATGATGAACGGAGAAAAGACTGAAGTCAAAGAATTCATTTTGCTTGAATACACTATCAGTATTCATGGAAGCAGCAGTTAAAAATCAAATGATGTACTCATTAGGCAAATCTGTTGCACAAGACCTCTTCAAGAGCAAGGATGTCAGTTTGAGGACTAAGGTGTGTAGAACCCAAGTCATGGTATTTTCAAAAGGTTCATATGCATATGAAAGTTGGACAATGAATAAGGAAGACCATAGAAGAGTTGATGCATTTGTATTATGGTGTTGTAGAAGAGTATTAAAAGTATCATGGACTGCTACTGCTAGAAGAACAAATAAATCTGTGTTGGAAGAAGTACAGCCAAAATGATCCTTAGAAGCCAGGACGGCAAGACTTTGTCTCTCATACTTCGGACACATTATCAGGAGAGACCAGTCCCTGGAGAAGGATTCCATGCTTTTTAAAGTGTAGAGTCAGCAAAAAAGAGGAAGACTCCCACCCCCCAACAGGATGGATTAGCATAGTGGCAGCAGCAATGGTCTCAAGCTTAATCAAAACTGTGAGGACGGTACAGGACCAGGTGGTGTTTTGTTCTATTGTGCACAAAGTCTCTATGAGTCAGGATCAACTCAACGGCACTTAATTGCAACAACATAATATTTAGAGATTTGAAGAGGAGAGCTTCATTTCCCTTATGACAGAACTAATAAACTTAATATCACTTCAAGTGATAGACCAGAGGTTGAAACTCCAGTTTGTTGTTGACATCTTATAAGCAAACATGTTTTGCTTAGCCTACACAGTATTTTGAAAAATGGTTGTAATGGGTTAACTGATTGAATTGAAATAAAGTTTAATAAAATTCCTTTCTTCATTTGCACTGCTCACATTTCAAACACTCAGAGTCATATGTGGCTTGTGGCCATATTGAACAGTACAGATATAGAGTATTTCCATTATCTCAGATAGCATGCTGTATTTAAGTTATCAAACTGTTAACAATAAGTCTCACAAAGATAATCCAAATTTCCAGCATCTCTTGAAAAACTTATCTAGAAACTCTAGGCTGAATTCTCACGGAAGGAAACTGGGAGGAACGAACCCACATAAATATGGTTATAATCCCATTTGGAGATGATTTTTTATGTGATGTTAAAGAGGTAGTATTATTATAGGGTGTCTTAAATCAATCTCTTTTGAAAACCCACTAACCTGGAGTTAATTCTGACTCACAGTGGACAGGCTAGAATTGCTCCATAGGGTTTCTGAGGCTATAAATATTTATGGAAGCAAACTGCCTCATCTTTCTCCTAAGGAGCAAGCAGCTGGTGGATCAGAATCACTGATCTTTCTGTTAACCGATCAACACTTAAACAACTGTGATACTAGAGCCCCTCAGAGACATAAAAGAGCAGATTAAGTGAGCACGCATAAACAGATGGGAAAATACATGCCACATGGCTATAAGGAACCTAGAAATAGACGTTGAAAAGAGACGAGGACCTTCCCCCAGAGTGAACAGAGAGCCTTCTCCCAGAGCCGGTGCCCTGAATAGCAGGCTTCTCACCTCCTAAATTGTGAGAAAATGTCCATCTGTGAAAGCCACTCACTTGTGGATTTCTGTTATAGCAGCATTCGAGAACTAAGACAGGTGGCCCTCCTTTTTTGACAGAGAACATGCTCTCACGTTCATTGTACGAATTCTCAGCTCTGGTAGCGTAGTGGTTACACGTCGGGCTGCTAATCTCATGGTCAACAGTTCAAATCTAGCATACATTCCACAGGAGAAAGATGAGGCTTTCTACTCCCATAAAGATTCACAGCCTTGGAAACCCTATAGAGGGATGCTATGAGTTGGAACTAACTCCAAGACACATAACTACCAACCATCACCACCCTATTGTCTTACACCTCCACTTTACTCACTTGTGCTACATGCCTGGATTTCCAATTGAGTCTTTTGATAGGAAGCAAATATTCTAAGACTATCTTAGTTTCTACTTATAGGCTAGAACCATTAGTTCCTTTTTCAAAATCATTTATTTATTTACTTTTTATTATGAGTTAGGTGAAGGCTTCCAGAGCATGTTAGTTTTCCATTCAACAATTCACAACACATTTTGTTTCATGTCATTAATTGCAATCCCCACAATGCTACATCACCTATCCATTTCCTTCCTACGTTTCCCATTGCCATTTCTCCTTCTTCCCACACCCTTCTAAACTTGTCCTTGGGCAAATGCTGCCCTTTTGATCTTAAATGGCTGACTATTCTAAGGTTAGCACACTTCCCTAGTATTACTGTTCCATGTGTTGTGCTGTTGTTGTTGCTGCTGCTAATCTAATGGCCAAAGTGCTGTTGAGTCCTTTTTGACTCATAGTGACCTTGTATAGAGTTTCCAATGAGCAGCTGATGAGTTTGAACCGCCAACCTTACAGTTCAAACAGACCTTGCAGTTCAGCGCTTATCCTACAGTGCCATACTAGGATCTGTCTAAGAAGCCCTGGGGTTGCGGTTGGCTAAGCACTGGACAGCTAACCACAAACTCACCAGCTGCTTCACAGGCTGTCTCTTCCCATGCAGAGTCCTGGTATGGTGCTGCAGGATAAGCACTGACCTGCAAGGTTGGCTTGTACTGCAAGGCCAGCAGTTCAAACCCACCACCTGCTCTTTGGCAATACTATACAGGGTCACCATGAGTGGGAACACCATCACCATAAAGATCTACAGTATGTAAAACTCTTGTGCACAGAGGGTCGCTACGAGTCAGAGCTGACTCAACGGCAGCGGCTTTGGTTTGGGGGTACAGGTCCATCCACTATTTAGGTAAAAGCTGAGGCACGGGGTGAGTTCATTTTCAAATCTGAAGGGTGACTAAAGGTTTCTGTTGTTGTTGTTGTTAAGTACTATTTCTGATGATCAAGTTTAGTGAAAATAAAATATCATAGCCAATCTGTCTACACTAGTTTTCTAATTTTGGAGTGACATTTTTGAGAGGAACATAAAAGGCCTTCAGAATTTCATTTTATACACACACACATAATATATATATATATATATATATATATACACATCCCATAAGGGATTATTTCAGCAACCTACTAAAGAGATACAAATACTCTGCTTTGGAATATCTTATACAAAATTTGTTAATTTAATTAAGAGCACTTAAGTCTTATTTCAAAATATGCATATTAGAAAATCAAAATTTCTCTCTATAAGATATAATAAGCATTTTAAAGGAGGCCTAGGGAGCTCTGGTAGCGTAGTGGCTACGAATCGGGCTGCGAACCTTAAGGTCAGCGGTTCGAAACTACCAGCCGCTCCGCGGGAGAAAGATGAGGCTTCCTACTCCCGTAAAGATTTACACCCTCGGAAACCCTGTACAGGGTCGCTATGGGTCGGAACCGACTCGACGGCACTTAACAACAACAAAACAGGGGTGCAAAGGTAAAGTGTTTGGGGACTAATAGAAAATTCAGCAGTTTGAACCCAGTCCTGGTGTGGAGCTATGAGTTAATGTGCTGGACTGCAAAGCTGTTTGAACCTCAAAGGTTGGTGGTTCAAACTCACCAGCTGCTCCTCGGAAACCCTATACAGGGTTGCTATGGTTTTCGATTCAATGGCACTTAACAAGTGACTCCGATCTGCTTCAGTAAAGATTGTTGTTCTGTTGTTGTTGTTGTTTAAGTGCCACTGAGTCAATCCCAACTCACAGCGATCCTATATGGGGCTTTCAGGGAGCAACTGGTGAGTCTGAAGCACGAACTTGTGGTTTAAACTAATTTTGCAGTCCAGTGTATTATTCCACAGTGCCACACCAGGACTCCACTCTGAATGCACCAAGAAAATCCCAATGGGCAGCTCTACTCTGTCACTTGAAGTAAATTCGACATAAGTCAGAAAAGAGTAAGATAGCATCTAATAATAACAAAAGTACCACAGATGAAAAAACTATGCTCTAGAGAGGACAATGAACTTGCCGAAAGCCAAACAGTCATATAAGATCATAGCCAGAATTCTCTTCACTACACTGTTGCTGGCCTTCCCTGCCACAGTCAGGTGATACTGTGACATAATGTTTTTTCCCAAAGATGGCCACATCATTATATATCCCAATATACAATATGATGTTGACACACCTCCATTAAGAGGCGAGGTCTATGTTTTCTTCCACTAACCTGGGGCAGAACTTTGTAATGTCTCAACCACTGGAATCTAGGAGAAGTGATACTGAATGATCTCTGAGTCAGAAAAGAAAAAGTGGCTTCTACCTGACTCACCCTCTCGGGACACTTGTCTGACAAAGTCACATGAGGGCTCTCTGACCCACAGTCCCAGCTATGATTCCAACCAACAGCAGAACCAACTTCCAGGCACTGATGATTGCAGCACCCAGCCTTTCAGTCTTCTAGCCGAGGCTTCAGGCATTAAGGAGCAGAGACAAGCCAGCCCTGCTGTGTTCTATCTGAAATCCTGACCCACAAAAATCATGAGAGAGAAATAGCATTGGTTCAATCCACTTATTATCAAGGCAACTTGTTACATAGTCATCAAAACAGGAACAGATGATTTCAGAAGGATACCAATGACTGCCTCACACAAATTTTAAGTATTTGGGTAATGAAACAATTATTAATATTAAATAAGTATTTATATAACAAAACAAATATTTACAAGTCAAATAAAATGTTAACTTAGCTTACCATTCAGGCGGTACCATGCTTCCATCCACATCCCAGAACGTGTTTTTGCCATTCATTTCAGTCGTATATATAACCCATCGATGACGGCCTATGTTAAAAGATCAGCATTTAGAAAGATGTGAGAAAAAAGACAACCCCTTCCTAAAAGGCATACTTTGCTGTTATGTGCCTTCGAGTCAGTTCTGAACCACAGCAACCCTACAAACAACCAAACAAAACACTGCCTGGCACTGTGCCACCCTCACAATGGTTGCCATGTTTGAGCCAATTGTGGTAGGCTTGCTTTTTAAAGAAATGAAGCCTTTTTATCAAGAAAATACTTTTGTGCTCTTATATAAGAGAAATGTTAGAGGACTCATATCCTGGGGATGTCAGTAAAGACAAGCTCCAGGAAATGTGTGGCAAACATTTATAAGCAGCCTGGAAACCATCAGAGTGTCTCACCAGGGACTAAAACGACTTACTGCTGTGGGTGGGACAGCAAGTGGCTGTTTCTAGCCTAGTAGAGAGGATAGGGCAATGTGATACCAGAATTCAAGGTATTCAGGAAAAAAAGCGTTCCTCCTGAGATCTGAGCAGGAAAAATGTATTCACAGAAATCAAACCTGAATTGTATGTTTACTGAGCAATATTTTTAAAAGACCACCTCCAATCCTGTACCACTTTTCAGAATTATCAGTAGTATGGATATCTGTTTTGAGGAATGAGGGGAGGAGCAGAAGGAAGAATGATATTATAGTTTGTAACAATAAAGTGGTAAGGTGGAAAGAACACTAGTATACTGGCCTGAGGCTCTGCCACTAACTAGCTGTGCTATTTGATTAACCCTTTTGCTTTAAAAACATTTCCTTGGCCTCAGTTTCATCTACAAAACATTTGTTTTTGATAGTATCTCAGTCAGTTAGTGCTGCTATAACAGAAATGCTGTAAGTGGATAGTTTTAACAAACAAATGTATTTTTGATTCTAGCCTCAAGTTTATGAGTCTGGGTTCAGGAAGCTAGCTCTGTTGGTTCTGAATTGTCTCTTACAAATTTCTGTTCCTGGCTGATCTTCACATGGCTTAGCATTTCTCTTCTCTGCCCACTCATTTAATCTCTTTAATTCTTACAAAATACTCCCTACACTAACCCTGCCTCATTAACATAACAGACAACCCAATCCCAAATGGGCATGTTGTTACTGTTGTTAAGTGCTAGGAGTCAGTTCTGACCATAGCAACCCTGCATAGGGTTTCTGAGGTCCGGTTGGTGATTTTTAACCACCAACCTTGTGGTTCAAACCAACTTTGCAGACCACTGCATTGACCCACAACACCACACCAGGAGTCTGACAATGGGCATAGAGGTTAGGACTTAAAACGTATTTTTAGGGACACGATTCTACCCATAACAGATAGGTAATCTCTTAAAATCCAGGTCTAACATTTTATGTGTTGTATGAATATTAAGGAGTCCTGGTATGGCGCTGTAGGATAAGCATTGGGCCACAAGGTCAGTTTGAACTTCTAGTAGACCAATTTGTATCCAGTGCAACCATACGAGTCCTACATTGCTAGGAGGAATTCTTAATGACTGAGTTTCTCTACACTAAGATGGAGTAAGGTAAAACACTCATCTCAGGGAGCTGTTGAAGATTAAAGTAGAAAATGCATACTACCTAGCACCCAGTGAACAGTCCAGAATGTGAGGTTATTATTCTTCCCCTGGAAAGAGAGCAACTTTTTCCTCTTTGACGCTTTACATTTCAATCAGACGAGAATTTCTGTACTATTCTAAAGTTAACAAATGTAACTGAGAAAAATATTCAACAGTTTAAGAAGATAAAATATAATATATGAGGTGGATTCAAATATTTGAAGAAAAACTCCATTACCTTCTATTTCCATTTTTCTGTGAATTTTCCAAAGCCCACGTGTGTGTGAATTTTAAAAGTACTTATTATGTGCCAAGCCTTAGACCAAGGGGTCTCAATTAGGGGTAATTTTTACTTCCAAGGGGACACTGACAACGGGTCAGTCGTTCAAACCCACCACACATTCCTCAGAAACCCTCTAAAGGGTCGCTATCGGTCAAAACAGACTCAACAACACTTAAAAACAACAGAGATATTTTTGGTTGTTGCCACTAAACAATAGATGGGTTGCCATTCCTGTCTAGCGGTAGACACAAGGGATACTGCAAAACATCCTAAAATGCATAAGATGGCAAACTTCATCTCTCATACTTCGGTCATATTGTCAGGATGGATCAGTTGCTGGAGAAGAATATCATGTGTGGTAAGGTGGAGGGTCAGAGAAAAAGAGGACGACCCTCAACAAGATGGATTGGCCAAGGCAGCATCGATGGACTCAAGCATGGCAACAGTAGTGAGGTAGGCCCAGGATCAGGCAGTGTTTCGTTCTGCTGTGCATAAGGTTGCTATGGGTTGGTACCAACACAATGGCACCTAATAACAACAACACTGTCTCACCAATGAATCATCTGGTCCAAAATGTCAATAATGCTGAGGCTGAAAATTCCTGAATTAGGCTAACCTCCTTCCATTCATTTTGCATCCAAAAAAAAAAAAAATCTTGTAAGACAAACTATTGTTTCTACTTGATAGATAACTGAGGCTTGTTGCTGTTGTTTAGTGCCATTGCTCAGAGACGTTAACTCACTGCAGTTCACAGAGCTCTAGAGAAGGGGGAAGAATGTTAAATGCATACTGTTTTCTGTGTGTCATTTCAAAATTTTTACATGCAGATAAAAGCATATGGTTCCTAACAGAAGTCCTGATATGGCGCTGTAGGATAAAGCACTGGACCACAAGGTTGGAGGTTCAAACTCACCAGCCTATACAGTGTCACTATGAGTTGGAACCAACTTGAAAGCACTTAACAAGAATCACTTTAGCAACAAAGTATTCCAAAATGCAATTCATTTTTGCTATGCTGTAGCTTGTATTTGAGTTGAGATGGCTTCTATTTTATTACAAAAGAAAAAAAAAACGCAATTCATTCATATCTAACCAATACAAACTAATATTGTTTTTAAATTTTACTACTAAAATAATGCTGCAATGGGTGTCTTTGTAGCTCTTTTCTTGTGTACTTTCACAGTATTTATTTGTAGGATGAATTCTTTTAGAATTAAAAGTGATATAGATTTTAATAGATATTACCAAAATGCCTTCTAAAAAGAATGCACAAGGAGAGGACTGTAATCATTGAGATGAAACAAAGTCTATTATTTGTTGAATGTAAAGCTGATGATCTAGTCTGTAAACTTTCACTCAATTCACAACAAAAAGTTAAAAAAGAATGCACTACAAATTTATTCCTATAGCCTTTTCCCACACTAAGATTTATCAGATACGTTCCAAAATGGTACCAGTTTTTAAAGTTGTATTTCTTCTATTACAAATAAGAATGAGTATCTTTTCATATCTGTTGGTCATTTTTTTTTCTGTAAATTAATTTTTTTTTATTTTCCTCTTACCTAAATGCTTTGTAACAGTTGACTGTACACTATGGGAAATAGACTTAAATTCCCCTCACCAATTATTCATACCAAAAACATATATGTATGTGTGTGTGTGTGTGTGTTGCACTCACCAAAAAACTGTTTGTTGTCTTCATAGTATTTGTTTCCATATTTGTCTTCCCCGACTAATGTACCAACTCTTAAATCGTTTGCCCTATGAAAGCCCAAAAGAAAAGTTTAGAATGAGTGATTCTCTCTTTAACTCATAATCAGAATTAAATCGAATATACAAAGAGCTGTAGTAGTGCAGTGATTACGAATCGGGCTGCAAACTTCAAGGTCAGCAGTGCAAAACTACCAGCTGCTCCACAGGAGAAAGAGGAGGCTTTCTGCTCCCATAAAGATTTACAGCCTCAGAAACCCTGTGCGGAGTGGCTATGGGTCGGAACCGACTCCACTGTATACCACGATCACGCCCATACCAACTTTCAGACACAACGAGTGGTGGGTCAACTTAAAAAATGAGGAGATCCTGGAGATGGTTATTGGCTTTTGGCCTTCATCCCCAGGCTCACACTACCCAATGTTACACAATCAACTTTCTGGTACGAGCGCTGACACCCCAACTCATGCAGCCTCAGTATCCTACACACAGAATGATGAGAAAGAAAAGAACTGTTCAACAGATGTGATAAACTACACTAAATATACGGTAGCACTATCTTCAAATTACAGGACTACTTTTGTCTATCATTCGTGTGCCGTCAGACACTGATGTTAGCAAAACCTTCGGGAAATAAGGACGCCAATGCATCTCACCTTCTTAAAATGAAATGCCTCTTGGGTCCTTTATTCGACCCTGGGATTCCAACTCAGTTACAGCGGACAGTGCTGCTCACCAGATTCTAACAGAACACACACCTCTCACTATGCAGAGGAGGAAAGTGAAGGCCGGTAAGGGGGAAAACCTTTCCCAAGGTCACACAAAGCACTTCACTCTACATTACGAAGGGCACAGCGGCATCCCAGATCTCCTCGCCCGCTTGTCATAACTCCATCTCTAGAGCTGACTTCGGTCCTGTCTTGGTAGCATTACTGGAAAGCGACTTCGACCCTCTGCCTGAAGACATGCATTTGGTTGGTTGCCCTTGACAGAAGTCGAGAGTTCCTCCAAGGTGGCCTAAGTCCAACCCCTTTCCAAGAAACCTGCCAGCGCAAGTGCTACCTCAGAGGCCTAGAGCCTGGCTCTGGACGCCTACCTGAACAAAATTCGTAAATAGCCCCGGAGGCCGCCGTGACCGCTGATCTGCTGCAGCCCCCGTTTCAGAACCTGCACGTACTCCATCTTGTCCCGCAGGTCCAGCCTCTCGGGTGCGCAGGACAAAACCCACCGGTCAGAAGCAGACTCTCAGCGGCTGGGAGCCCGGGAGCAAAAGGTTCCGAAGCGCATGCGCCACACAGACTTGGTCTGCACTGTCCCCTTTCGGTTTCCACAGTAAGAGGCTTTGTTTCCCCCGGAAGCAGAGACAAAACAGCTGCAAGGTGGGCTGATGGAAAGCTCGCCTAGTCTGGGCTTCGCCAGACCCGAAGTGTCCTGCTTTGGGGGCCTTAGTTTTATTTTCTAACATCTCTTTTTTAGTTTGGGTTTTGGTTTTGTAGGATATATGTTTAAAGTCATGTAGTAGATAAATCTTCCTACTTGATTTGATTTTTTGCCAGGACATAGAATTTTAGGTTCAGAATAATTTTCCCACAGAATTCAGCATAACTACGTGAGTGGACTTTTTCTGCTAATAAGTGCCCCCAACCATTTTCCCTCTTTCTTCTTCTGGAACCTTAGGTGAATTATTAGGTGAACATCAGACCTTTTGAATTGACACTCTGAACCTTTTAGCTTTATCTGCATATTTTCCATATCTGTGTTTGTGTTCTACATCTTGAGTCATTTTTCTTTTCAACTTTATGTATCAACTGATTAATATGTTCCTTTTCTAGAGCCATTCTATTTAATAATGGTATCAATTACTTATGCTTCAATCCTACAATTTTTAATTTCCAAGACTCTGCTTATCTCTGGTTACCCCCTAACATCTTACTTTAGCTTTTGTCATTTGCTCAATATTAGTATTGTTGTTATAGAGCAAAGCAAGCTGAAAAGATCTGCACGATAATACATTTGGATGACAGTTGCCCTGTTCATGTTACTGAAAAAATGAAAAGGTAGCGTTCTTTTAGCCAATAAAGAAACTTCTGTTGTTATGTGCCGTGGAGTCGATTCCGACTCAGTGACCGTACAGGGTTTCCAAGGCTGTAAATCTTTACGGGAGCAGAAAGCCTATCTTTCTCCCATAGAACAGCTGATAGTTTTGAACTGCTGACCTTGCGGCTTGCAGCCCGATTCGTAACCACTACGCTACCAGAGCTCCTTATTAAAAAAATAAAAAAAAAAAAAAAAAAAAAAGCTAGTAAATAATAAATACAGTGGTCCTAGCAGAAATGAAGACTTGTTAACTGTCGTATAAGTCGGTTCTGACTCATAGTGACCCTGTAAAGGATTTCCAAGGGTGTACATTTTTGCAGGAGCAAAAAAGCCATTCCTGCGGAGTGGCTTGGTGGACTCAAACCGTTGACCAATTGTGGTTCGAAGTCCAGTGCTTACCGTATGAAACCACCACGCTCCCTGAAGTAAGAATACTAGAAATCAAAATCAGAATTGTAGTTGTTGCTGTTTAGTGCCATTGAGTCGGTCCCAACCCATAGAGACCCTGTTTAGGGTTTCCAAGGAGCAGCTGGTGAGCTTGAACCACTGACCGTTAGGTTCAAACCAGCTTTGCAGTCCAGCGCATTAACCTACAGAATAAAATAAGCTAAAAAACCATTACATAAGGGTGTTAAAGATATAATGACTCCTTGTCCTATAGTATTAAGTTACATAAGGATCTTATTAAGTGCTGTCGAGTTGATTCTGACTCAGAACACCCTGTACAGAGCTTCCATATAGCAGCTGGTGGGTTTGAACCATCTCCCTTGTGGTTTGCAGTCCAGTGCTTATCCTACAGCACCGCACCAGGATTCCTTCATTAGGGATGTTGTTTTGTTCATTGCTATGTCCCTAAAGGAGTCCTGGTGTGGCGCTGCAGGGTAATGCACTGGACTGCAAAGTCAGATTGAACCTAAAGGTCGGCGGTTTGCCAATCCTGGGAAAGTTTATACAGTGTCACTGTAGGTCAGAAGCAACTCAATCACATTACAACACCACCACCAACGTCCCTAATAAGGAACCCAGGTGGTACAATGATTAAGCGATCTCCTGCCAAGCACAAGGTCAATAGAACCCACCAGCATCTCTGCACTAGAAACATGCGGAATTTTGTTTCCATAGAGATTACAGCCTTGAAATCCTATGTAGTTAGTTCTACACTGTGAATCAGAATCCACTTGATGACAATGGGTTTGTTTTGTTTGTTTGTTTTAGGTATGTCCCTTTGTTGGTGGTGGTAAGTGTTGTACCCACTGAATGTGGTACATTCCAATTTGGGAAGGAAGGTAAAACTGTTTCCTTAATGCCAGTCACCAAGCATGCAGACCGTGGGACTAGAGTGCCACTCTGAGGCCTGCTCTGGATATAACACCCTCATTGCAGAACACAAACCCCAGTGACTCTCCCTAGCGCGGCATACTTTGAGACTTGGGCATTCCTGGTTTTGAAGGACCTCTACCAAATGGTTGCCAGACTCATCATGCCACAGCGGCTTCCTCAAAGTCTGAGCCAATTGTGCCCAGCTCAGCATATGGCCCAGGAGAAGAGAGCAAGGGCAATGACAGTGCATAACTGGTGAGTGCTCCGATTAACAGGCATTCACCAATTACACAGTCATTGGTAAATCATGGACAGAAACAGTTTGGGTGGGTTACCAGAAAAGGCATGTGAAACCCGAGCTCAGAAGAGAAGTCAGTGAAAGAAAAACAAAAACAAGATTAGACCATCCAAGATCTCTTTGTGAAAAATGACCCATCCATTGCCATGAAGTGAATTCTGACTCTGTGTCCCTATATGACAGGGTAGAACTGCCCTGTTGGGTTTTCAAGGCTGTGATCTTTATGCAGATTGCCACATCTTTCCCCTGTGGGGAGGCCAGGGAGTTCAAGCCACTGACCCTGGGTAAGCAACCCAGCACTTAACCACTGCAGCCATTGTAGCATCAGAGCTCCATATTTGAATTAGATGAAACCTCACTAGATCACAGCTTGCGCTTGGAAGCTATCAAGGAAAAGGAAGTATCCCATACCCATTGCTGGAGCATTTAGAAAGGGAAACTCATTTTGATGGACTGAAGTTGAGATACATATATAACCAGGAACCAATGGATTGGGTTTGAGTTTATAATAAAACACTTGCTGTATTTTCATGGAGAAGTGGGTCTGAACAAGACCCCCAGACAACTAGATATGGATATAAGTATCTTATCAATAAAACTGATGGTAAAAAATATTGCAGCATTACTGATGGATGTTTACAGGAAATCTTTCATAGCTTTGACAGTATTTAGCACAATGTTGTCGTTGTTGTTAAGTGATATAGAGTTGGTTCTGACCCATAGCAATCCTATAGAGTTTCTGAGGAAGCAACTGGTAAGCTTGAACCGCAAACCTTACAGTTCAAACCAACTTTGCAGTCCAGTGCATTAACCCACAGTGCCGCACCAGGACTCCAATCAGCACAATACAGGTATATAACTCAACCCATGAGATCCAAGAAGGTGATCTTCAGTACCTTCAGCTTTTCACTGAGGATAGTAGACTAGCAATGGAGGAAACACTCTTGGCTTCATTTCAATTGAACATGTTTTCTTTTATAATAAGGAAAGCAAATATAATATAAGGAAATAAGAAGAGAACGAAAAAGGAAGAAGAAGAAAAACAGCAGATCTACTGATTGCCCTAAAAGTGGGTGAAATGGTTCTAAAAGGCTCACCGAGTAATCTAGAGTCAGGGCAGACCATATGAGAAATGGAGAGCATCACTGGAGAAACACAGAGTGATGCTGCAATATGTTAGGAAAAGTTGAAGAAAGCAAAACCATGCTATGCCATTCTTACTCTAGGCAGGAAAAAAGCACACATGAAAATCACACATAAAGAAAAATCTGACTGTCATAAATGTACACATAGGGAAATTCTTATCTAAGAGGTAGGATTAGGTCTCAGTTTCAGGTTACTACGTAGAAGAATTGAAGCTTTTGAGTTATGGTGTTGGAGTCGAATATTGAAAGTACCATGGGCTGCCAAAAGAACCAACAGATCTGTGTTGGAAGAAGTGCAGCCAGAGTGCTCCTTGGAGGCCAGGATGGCCAAAGTTTGTCCCTGGTACTTCAGACATATTG